GTTTGTCAGCCAGTCGCGATCGCTCCGTATCGGAGAACCGGCTAACAAGAAACGCGCCGCTCCTCGAGCCGTGCCATTGTTAAAATATCACCGCCTAATTGCGCTTGCAGCGAAAGCTTTCCAACGATAAACAGCATTGGACGCTTGACGCATTTCTTTGCAAGCGGAAATGATGAACAAAGGCAAAGGATTCATTAAGATAGAAGTAGAATTGTTTATTTTTCAATTCGATCAATTTGGCTATAATCGGCTCTTAGAAGACGCATCATAAATATGAAGCAGTGGCGAAGAACTGTAAATTTTCATGAACATATGATGCACGTTGTTCGAGATATTCGTATTACTGAGAGAACAAGAGCATCCTTATACAAAAACGATTCCTCTCGTGGATTTTATAAAGTCGAACTGCCCGTTTTACGCGTTATACTACAAAACGTTCCGTAAACCGCCTTGTTCGTGTGATGCAGAATTGCGTGTCCAAACGAATGTAAATAAAATCGAAAAACTGCAGCTTCTAGTTTTATTTTGGCCCAGAAACCCGGGACCCGATTCTGGATAAACGTTGAGAGGAATATTTACGGAGGATAAAGCTTAAAGCTCCATAGTGGAAGCTTAGTTTGGCGAGAAACTGCGTGTCCGCTATTCGAGGCATCGTGAAAGAGCGACTGTTGGGATAATTTCAAGTTCTATATTCGACGATCGTCGAATCGTAAACCGCGGACATTAACATCGTATCATAAATTGCGAGTTTCCTGCTATTCGAAATGCACGATTCGCTGACGCGTTCTAACAGAGAGCTCTTAAACACGTATACGGTATACACACGTGGCTGTGTGTTTCATCGCCAAGCTAAACGTCTCTCAAGTATGCGCAAAGAAAACCCGCAAGGACAATTGTAAATTATAAAATGCTTGCTCGCTCGCGATTGAAGGCCCTATTGAAGCAGTACTTGTCCTATAATTTAGTATTGGATGAACCATCGGCAATAAATCAATTTAATTGAAAGGAAAACGAGAAATAATTGTAACTCTATAACGAGTCGATGAGAATTTCATCACTAAAATAAATTAAATGCTCATTAATATTAATTTTTGCTCATGTGTTGAACTTCCGAAAAATGTCTAATACGTGAATTTATATCCGATCGGACCTAATCCGTTTGACTCGGTCATGGAATTCGGCCAAGTTTTCTTTCCCCCGACATACCACGAGGCTTTACTACTGGGATGTCTCGTTGAATTTCCAAAACAAGAAGAACCAGCGCTGCTTTTGGGCGCTGTAAGCGGATTTCCGAAATCCCTGCGCCGTAAGAGAGAAAATTGAAATCGGACATTTTTTACGACGGAATTAAATCGGTCGGACGCAGATGAAAGTTCCCGATAAGCCCGCGATACGCGATGCTGTTATTCTAAATAATCCTTTCACCTCGCGGGGAAATACGAAATTGCTCGTGCGCGGATTACATTTTCTGAAGACTGTTTTAAAAAAATACTGCATCGTTCTGTTATTCGGTTGTAAAAATTAATCGCACAAGTGTTGGAAAAACTATTTCTGAACATATTTCGTTAAAACAATTTTTCTATATTTTCCCTTATCGTGTTAATGAAATAATTACGATTCCACAGATCGAAGTATTCAAATTAAGGATGTATTGGCA